ATTTAGAATGCTTTCCAACCTGAGGAGCTATCTTCTGGCAGTATACCAGACAATGTTCCACTGCTATTCATAAGGTTTTCACTGGCCAGTTTTTTCAGAAGTACATTGCTAGGTCCTTCTTGCCAGTCTCACTTTGTCCTGAAGTCCGCTGAAACCTGTCCACCATGGGTGACCCTTCTGGCATTTGAAATACCGATGGCATCGCTTCCAGCATCACTGCAACATACAAGCCACCACAGTACGACAAACTGACAAATGAGTGGTGGAACTTTATAAAAGCCTTTTTTTAGCTTTATAAATAGCTTTTGGAAATCTTAGGATTTCTTAAATTTTCTTCCACCAAAGTTGGTTTATTTATTTTTCTTTCTCACAAACTAACATATGCTTTGTAGAGATAAAGGTAATGATGCATTTTGATAACTTTTAGTATCAGTGAATAGTATATTGGCAAAAGCCTTTAAAAAGATAATATGAACTGGAAAGTATTTTGCAAGTGTTCTTTAATTAATATTAAGTTTGTTAACAGGTTGTAGAAGATATATGCCCAAAATTAAAAACATTTTTCAGTCTTGTTTCTAATGCTGTTTTTTTCAAATCTTTATCCCAGTTCAGTGGTACTAGAAAAGAAATCTGTACATGCTGTTCTATTATCTAAGTTTCTGGAGGATCAGGGGACTGATGAGCTGTTGAAGTGGGGGTAGGATGTCGTCAAGCCTAAAAAGGCCATGAGGCATATGGGAAGCATAGAAAAGCTTCTTCTGGCGCTTAGTTGTATGAGAAAAATAGTCACTACCATAAGGAGTGATTGCCTTTAGTATTGCTTTACTGACGTAGCTGTGTATTTTCTCTGTTCCAGTAGGTATTATCTGAGTCTCAGACTGTCGGGCTTATTTAACTACCCAACTTCATTCACTTCTTTCTACCTCTGTCAGCAGCTACATCCAGGACCTTGTCATCGCCTTAACTGCTTCACCTCTGTGTTCTTAAACCCTAGTTTAAGGCTCCAAGTACAGCCTTCTCTGCTTACAGTTTTCCTCTTCTTTATTCCCATTTTATCTGTTCTTTGACCCATTGGTACTTCTAGACCCTTTTAGTAGTAATTCTATCTTTCCTTTTTTTCCATCTATCCTAGAGTCTCTGCTCTGTCATTTATAGCAATCTGTGTCTCTAGATGGCTTTCTCCCATTTTCCATAAAAGCTCATTTTAACTTAGCAGCAGTTCCCTTGGTCAGATGTTGACCTTGCTCGCAGGAAGTGGAAGGCAATCAGAAATCAAATCCCTGAGGTTCCTGTATTCCCTGTAATCTTCAGCCACTTTGGCAGTCATACTTGTTTACTAGCCCTTATTTTTTTGGGTGGATTCCTTAGAATTTCCTATGTATAAAATTATGTCATCTGCAAATAGGAATAGTTACTTCTTCCTTTTCAGTCTGGAAGCCTTTTATTTCTTTTTCTTGCCTAATTGCCCTGGCTAGAAGTCCAGTACAGTGTCAAATAAAAGTGGCAGAAGTGGATATCCTTATCTTGTTCCTGATCTTAGGGGGAAAGCTTTTGCACCATTAAGTATGATTTTACCAGCACCAGTTGCTGTCGAGTTGATTCTGACTCATGGCAACTCTGTGTTCATGTCAGCCCTGTATGTGTCAAAGTAGAACTGTGCCGAATAGGGTTTTCAGTGGCTTATTTTTTTTTTTTTAATTGTACTTTAGATGAAGGTTTATAGAACAAATAGTTTGTCATTAAACAGGCAGTACACATACTGTTTTATGACGTTGGTTAACAACCCCACAACATGTCAACACTCTACCTTCTCAACCTTGGAGGACCCTTCTTTTTTTTTTTTGGTGAAAATATGCATAGTCAGTGGCTAATTTTTCAGAACTCGATTGCCAGGCATTTCTTCCAAGGCACCTCTGAATGGACTTGACCCTCCAACCTTTCAGTTAGCAGTCAAGCACGTTAACCATTTGCACCCCTCAGGGACTTCCAAGTATGACGTTAATTGTGGGTTTTTTTGTAGATGTTGTTTACCAGGTTGAGAAAGTTCCCTTCTATTCCTAGTTTAAATGTTGTTATCATAAAAAATGTGTTAGATTTTGTCAGATGTTTTTTCTGCACCTATTGAGATGATCATGGGGTTTTTGTTCTTTATTTATATGTTGTATTACATTGCACCTTTCTATTTTTACGATGATCTCTTTCTAGCTATGCTAGATCCTATGTACTTCAGGTGTTTGTGATCTCTTCTGATTTTTAACCTCCTCTTTTGTTCCTGTAGCCTGTAAACATTATGTCTCTCCTATCTTAATAAAATCCTACTTCAGCTTTACTTCACATCTCGCTACTTGCCAGTCTTTCTCTTCCTCTTCATATCTAAGCAGAAACTTCAGAAAAATCTTAGTCTTCCTTTATTTCCGTTTCCTTCCCTCTTACTTTTTTTATTCAGCTTAAAATCTGGATTCTTCCCTCAACCTTTACTAAAACTATTTGCACAAAATCACCATTTTTCTAACTTTTTCTAACTCCAGAAGATACTTTTCAATCATTTTGTTTGACTTACTTTGGTATTTGACACATTGACCTCTGTTTCCTTCTGAAATTTCTCCTTTGGCTTTTGTGACACCATTCTTTCCTGAGTTTTCCTCTTAATTCTCTGGCTGCTTCTCAGTCTCTTTCATGGGCTTTTCCCTCATGTACCCAATTCATTTAAATTTGGTTCTCCCCCGGGTCCCTCATTGAGTTTGCTAGAAGTCTAGAAGTTTCTGTAGACTTCTGTAAATTCTTCTTATGTAATCTCATCTACTCTTACAGCTTCAAATACTCTAATATGCTGTTGAATTACAAGTCTTTGTAGCTCCTGAGTCCCAGCCCTATGTATTAAACAGTCTACTGAAAAGCTCCATTTAGATGCCCTCTTAACATCCTAGACTCATTTTACCCTCAGCTGAATTCTTCTCCAAACTGATACATCCTTTTATATTCTGTGTCTCAAAGAAGGTACTGCCATCTACCCAGTTCCTTAAAATATGAAAATTACCCATGACTCCTCCATTCCCTATTCCTATTAGGAGTCACCAAATCTTGTCTGTTTTACTCCCTTACTATTTTAGGTGTATATCCATTTCTTTCTATTGTCAGAACTAAAGATTAGTTCCAATTTTTATAATTCTTAGCTGAGTTATGAAGCAGCCCCCTAACTGATCATTCACCCTCCAGTCTTAGCTTTCTCTTCCCCTAAGTCTGTACTGAGTTCCTCTTAGGTGCTCCCCCTAGTACTCTGTGCATGCCTCTGTACTTATCACACTGTATTTAATCGTGTGCTTGCTTCTGTATATCCTCCTCCACACCGTAAATTGTAAGAGTAGGGACTACCTCCTAATCACTTTTGTGTTCCCAGCATCTAGCACAGTACATGACTTTAATAGACATTCAGTAATGGTCTGTTGGAAGGGCATTAGTGGTTCAGTGGTAGAATTCTCACTTTCCATGCGGAAGACCTAGGTTTGATTCCTGGCCAATGCACCACATGCACAGCCACCACCCATCTGTTGTTGGAGGCCTGGGTGTTGCTATGATGCTGAACAGGTTTCAGCAGAGCTTCTAGACTAAGATGGACTAGGAAGAAAGGCCTAGCGATCTACTTCTAAAGTCAGCCATCGAAAACCCTATGGATCACAAAAGTTTGCTTCGCAGTTGATCATAGAGGTGACACAGGATTGGGCAGTGTTTCGTTCTGTTGTGCATGGGGTCACCACGAGTCAGGTCCTGACTAGATGACACTTAACAATTACAACATTGATTTGTTGAGTGAGTGAATTAATTAATATTAGGAATGTGGTTTAAAAAAAAAAAGAAACAGGGTATGTTAGTGTGTTGGGAGGACTAAAGATAGAGCCATGAATTCTAACTATGAGTTTGGAAGGGTTAATTTGGATGTTTGAGCCTGCATAGAATTTTCGTGGGGAGGGGAGATACCGTTTCAGGTACAGAGGAAACTAAAAGTTCAGAGCTGCTTTGGAGAACCTTTTGACCTGGAGTATAGGGTTCTGTAGCGGTAGAGTGGTGGGTGGGAAGGTAAGTTGAACTAGATTGTTCAAAGTATCGAATACCTTACTAAGGAAATTGGCTCTAATTCTCTGAGCGTTATGAAACTCTAACTTTTTTTAGTAAGGAAGAGGTACTCAAAATTTGATTTTGGAAAGCTATCCCAGGTAGCAGAATGGATCGGAATGAGGAAATGAGAGACATTAACTCGTAGTCCAATGTAGTAGTCTAGGCAAGGCTGATGAGTGCTTTTACTTCGATAGTGGGAGTGGAAAAGGACAGATTTCATGTATTTGCTGTAGTAGAATTTGAACTTTTAGAGAAAGGAAGATGTTATAGATTATTTCAAGATTTTAATGAACATTTTGATCAAAGATTCTGTCGGAGAATCCTGATCAAAAGGAGAAATTGCAGAACAGAATTTCTAATTTTCATGGAATCCAGACTTTCTGGAGCCATGAAGGCTGGATGAACCCCCAAAACTATTGCCCTGAGATCATCTTTAAACCTTAAATCAAAAGTATTCCCTGAAGTCTTCTTAAAGTCAAACAATAGCTTAACTAGTAAAGAATGTCTGCCTTGAGCATTATGCTCTTTTAAGGTCTATCTATATGGGATCAAATTGACAATAGCAACTCGAAAGATTAGACAGAAAACTTAGGGGACAATGAGTTTATGTTAATGGCAGAGGAACAAGTCGGCAAAGGAGGGTGAGAATGGTTACACAACTTAAAGAATGTAATCAGTGTCACTGAATTGCACATGTAGAAACTGTCGAATTGGTGTATATTCTGCGTATATTCTCAATAACAAAAATAAAATATATTATTGTAAAAAATCACTGATATGCATGGTGAAATTCTTTTGAGACTGCCATTTTGATGTTAAAGAATAGAGGTGGCACTATTTTCTGTTTGTAATCTGAAAAAAATGCTAACTTCAGTTGTCTTTTTCAGTTGAGTGTGCGAGGAAAAAATAAAAAAGAGAAACTTGAAGATTTCTTTAAAAACATGGTTAAATCAGCAGATGGCGTAATTGTTTCTGGAGTAAAGGTAAGAATTTATTTGATTAATAGAGTTATTGGTTTGAGAATTTACTTCTTTTAAGAAGGAGAGAGATTGAGATTTCAGATGTGCAAAAAGCTTATTCTGGAGTAAAAGAGAAGTTTGTAAAAGAGAAGTACAGTCCTTACACCTGGGAAACCAGGGCCCCTGCCCAGGGCTCCACTCTTTAAAGAACTCCCTTCTCCAAGGGCTGCAAATCTGTAGGTCCAAGGGGATGTGCCCACCTGGAGCCCATACCTATTTCTCCTATCCAGACCTTGCTTCAGAGATCTAGAACCCCATATTTCTGTGCTCAGATCCAGGTCCTCTTCCAGGTCCTATGTGGGCTTCTTCCCTGGGTTTATCCTCCAGAGGGTAGACTGTGTCACTGACATGTGCTGTGTGCATGGTCAAGGGGTACCCGGGGGGCAGCTGAGCAGAGGGGAGGCACAGGAGAGAAGATCAGTGTGCTGTGTGGAATGTCCATCCACACGCACACAGAGTCCCTCTGGATGCAAGAGAGAGCTGCAGGGTGGGGCAAGAAGAGGAAAAAAACATGTTTTTATAAACATGTCAACAGTAAAACGAGTAGATATTATTTATTTGATTTGTACTCTTATTTTTCAGAGATAGGTCAATTGATATCTTGATAGTGCATGCATGTACTTCGGCTGATTTTCAATAAGGGTTAAGTATTTCTCTTAGCCATTAAATGTAAAACACTGCCGATTATGATTTTGATAATTTTATTAGCAAAGTAATAGCTAACATTATTTGAACATTTACAACATGCTGATTTTCTTATTTAATCTTCACTACAATCCTGCAAGTTAAGTAGTATACCTATTCCTATTTTTACAGTTAAGAAAACTGGTATATATGAATTACAGATTTTAAGTGACATTTTGTCAGTACTAACGTTTGCTTAGTGATGTATTAGTTGTTCAGTGGTAGAATTCTCACTTTAAGTGTGGGAGACCGTGTACTTCATGCACAGCCACCACGTCTGTCAGTGGGGAGTTGGATGTTGCAATGATGCTGAACAGGTTTCAGCAGAGCTTCCAGACTAAGATGGACTAGGAAGAAAGGCCTGTCTGTCTACTCCTGAAAATCAGCCAATGAAAACCAACTCTATGGGTTCACCATAGTGTGATCCACAACCAATCGTGGGGATGGCACAGGACCTGGCAGCATTTTGTTTTTGTGCATGGGGTTGCCATAAGTAGAGGGCTGACTAAACAGCAGCCAACAACAGCAACAACTTTTGCTTCTTGTGTTCTGTTGATGTGGGTCTCAACTTACATCATATAATTTGACACTTTTTCAGTAGTTGCTAGTTTAGAAGAGGGGAAGTACTGTTAATACTTTTTATTTTTAATGCATACCTAGCTTTGTTTTGTTCTGTTGTTCATAGGGTTGCTATGAGTTGGAACTGACTTGACAGCACTCGAGCAGTTTTGTTTCAGGGAGCCCTGGTAATGCAATGGTTAAGCATTTGGCTGCTAATCAGAAGGTGGCAGTTTGAACCCACCAGCAGCTCTGTGGGAGAAAAGACCTGGTGATCTATTCCCATAAAGATTACAGCCTAGGAAACCCTATGGGGCCGTTCTGATTAGTCTTATAGGGTCGCTATGAGTCTGAATCGACAGCACTCAACAATAAGCTTTGTTTATAAAAGAATTGAAGGCAACGGTTGATCAGATAATTTGGCCAGATTTCCTGGAATAGTCAGAGAGAGCCCTAGTGACTAAGGTCAGGCAGCCTTCAGCAATGGCCCATAGAATAAGAAAAATAGATTGTTATTTTATTTCTTTCTACCAGAATTTTTTCCTTTGTGCTCAAAAGCAGTTGATCACTCCGCTGGCAAGAATGTGTTTGTTATAGAGGCACAATTAGGAACACATTTCAGAGCATAACATGTAAACATGAACTATATGGGGAACTTAAGCCTGAAACTCCAAAATCATGGAATATTTCTTACTCAATAGATGGTACATGTCTACTAAAGTCTTAACTTGTTGGTGAACTAAATATAACATCTGATTTTTAGAGAAAGCTGTGCTATTTTATATATTTATATATATTTATATATTTATAATTATAACATGAAGTAATTTATGTATTTCACTAAAGCGAATAAATAAAAAAAAATTCATAAATTTTCTTTTGCTCCTATAGGATGTAGACGATTTCTTTGAGCATGAGCGAACATTCCTTTTAGAATATCATAACCGAGTTAAGGATGCATCTGCTAAATCTGATCGGATGACAAGATCACACAAAAGTAAGATATTTCTTTGTGGCTAAACCTTAAAAATTTTAAATGGAGTAATTATAAAATTGATATTTTATTTACAGTTTGTTAAAGTCTTGATATAGAGCAATGGTTCTCAAAATGTGACTTATGAAGACTTGACCCCAAGGCCCTTTTAGGGAATCTTTGAGGCCAAAACTATTTTCATAGTAATACGGTGATTATTTTTGCCTTTTTCACCATGCAGACATTTACACTGATGGTGCAAAATCAATGTTAGGTAAAACTGCCAGCCTCTTACCACAAATCAAGACATTGGCACCAAATTTTTGTAGTAGTCATTATATTCTTTCCTACTGTGCACTTGCAATTAAAAAAATACATATATTTCATTTAAAGATGTCCTTGATGAAGCAGTAAAAATTATTAATTATAATAAATCTCCACCCTGGAGTACACATCTTTTTCTGAGTGATGAAATGGGAAGTATGCATAAAGCAGTTTTGCTGCATATTGTTAAGTACCGTGCTTTTCTCTAGGAAAACATTTTTGTGATTGTTCAAGTTGTGACTTGCTTTTTTCATAGAATTTCATTTTTACGTGAAGGAATAACTGATAGACAAACTATGATTATCGGGATTTAAATATTTGGGAGACATTGTCTCAAAAATAAAATAAGTGAGCCTATAACTTTAAGGAAAATAACTGACAGTATTTGTTGCCAGTGATAAAATTCAAGCTTTCAAGCAGTAATTAGAATTTTGGAAAACTTGTATCGGTCACCATGAGCTTGGTTAAATAGTTAAAGACTTTTCTGATGAGATTGGTGGTAATATTAATGAGTGTGATTTTTTTTTTTTGAAATTGTATAGTGAAATGTGTCAACATTTGGAAGGTATGCATCATTCATTGAGCTGATGTTTTCTAAATGACCAATACATGATGTTACAAAATCATGTATGCCCTTCAAAGTGCAGGACAGACCAACGGGTTTAACAGCTTCATTGTGATATAGTTGATTTCAGTCAGCTGCACGTATTCAGAGTACTCAATTTGATAAGTTTTTACAAATGTATCCAAAACCCATTGCGGTCGAGTCAGTTCTGACTCATAGCGACCCTGTAGGACAGAGTAGAACTTCCCTATAGGGTTTCCAAGGCTGTAATATTTACAGAAGCATTTTCTAGAATTTTGTATAAATGGGACCATGCAGTTGTGTATTCTTTATTGTCTGGCTTTTTTCACTCAGCAAAATTATTTTGAGATTCATCCATGTTGTGTATACCTGTAGTTCATTCCTTTTTATTACTGAGTGGTATTCCATTGCCTGGATTATCACAATTGTTTATCCATTCACCTGTTAATGGGTTGTATCTAATTTTGGGCTATTAAACATAAAGCTGACATGAACCATCTATGTATAAGACTTTGTATTTTTTGTTGCTAGTTGCTGCCCTGCAGGACAGTAGAACTGCCACACAGGGTTTCCAAGTGTAACCTTTAAGACAGCAGATTGCCAGGTCATTTCTCCTACAGAGCAAACTGCTGACATTTCAGTTAGCAGCAGAGTACCTAACCATTGCATCACCAGGGCTCCACAGACAATATTTAAAGGCCTGGGCATGGCTGTGTTCCAGGAAAACAAAAACAGATGGTTGGCTGGAATTGGCCTGCACAATAGAACTATAGTTTGCAACCCCTAGTTTATTCTGGATGCAAGTCCTTTATCAGAAATGTGATTTGCAAATATTTTTTCTCAGTGGGTGGCTTGTCTTTTCATTCTGTCAAAAAGCAGAAGTTTTTAATTTTGATGTCTAATTTATGAAAAAAAATTGTATGCATCATGGTTTTAATGTTGTATGTAAGAAATTTTTGCCCTAACCAAAGGCCACAAAGTGTTTTCTTCTAAAAGTTTTATACCTTTAGCTTTATATTAGGTCTATGATCCATTTTGAGTTGATTTTTGTATAGGGTGTGAGGTATGGATTGAAATTCATTTTTTTGCACGTGGATATCCAGTTGTTCCAGCACTGTTTGTTAAAAACACGGTTGTTTCTCCACTTAATGACCTTGACACCTTTGTCCAAAATCAATTGACCATGTATTTGTGGGTTTACGTCTGGATTCTTTTTTCCTGTTCCATTGATTCTTAGGCTTATCCCATTGAAATACAGTGGTATTGGTATTTACACCAGTTGGATATATTTACAATAATATCACACTGTCTTGATTATCATAACTTTATAATAAGTCTTGAAATCAGGTGGTACATATAAGCCCCCCAACTTTGTTCTTCTTGATCAAAGTTATTTTGGCCACCTTAGGTCCTTTACATTTTTATACAAATTTTAGAATCAGCTTGTCACTTTCTTCAAAAGCACCTGCTGTAAGATGCATCAGTTGGTCCTAACCCACTTGGAACAAAGGACAATGAAGAATACCGAAGACACAAGGAAAAATTAGCCCAGGAGACAAAAGGGCCACATAAACCAGAGACTCTTATCAGACTGAGACCTGAAGAACTAGATGGTGCCCAGCCAGCACCAATGTCCGCCCTGACAGGGACCACAACAGAAAGTCCCTGACGGAGCAGGAGAAAAGTGGGGTGCAGAACTCAAATTCTAGTAAAAAAAAAGCTAGACTTAATGGTCTGACTGAGACTGGAGGGACCCTGGAAGACATGGCCCCCAGACTCTCTGTTAGCCGAAAACTAAAATCATTCCCAAAGCTAACTCTTCAGACAAAGATTAGACTGGACTATGGAATATAAAACAATACTCGTGAAGAGTGTGCTTCTTAGCTCAAGTAGGTACATGTGTCTAAATGGGCAGCTCCTGTCCAGAGGTGAGATGAGAATGCAGAAAGGGACAGGAGCTGGTTGAACAGACATGGGAAATCCGGGGTGGAAAGGAGGAGAGTGCTGTCACAGTGTGCGGAGAGTATCTAAGGTCACATAGCAGTGTGCATATAAATTTTTGTATGAGAAGCTAACTTGAACTGTAAACTTTCATTTAAAGCACAATTTTTTTTTTAAAAAAAGCATCTGCTGAGATTTTGATTGGAAATGTGTAGAATTTATAGGTCTGTTTGGGGAGAATTGATATGTGAACAATATTGGTGTATCTCTCCATTTAGTTAGGTCTTCATTAATTTCTCTCAGCAGTGTTTTGTAGTTTCCAGTGTACAGGTCTTGTACATCTATAATCAGATTTATCCCTAATTATATCTTGTTTTTTTGATGGTATTGTGAATGACGTGTTTTTTACATTTTGATTTCCAATAATTCTTTGCTAATATGTAGAAATACAATGTATTTTTGAATGTTATTCTTACGTCTTGCGACCTTGCTAAATAAACTCATTTATTAGTTCTAGTAACTATTTTGTAGATTCCTTAGTATTTTCTACATAGATGGTCATATCCTCTCTTAATAAAGGACAGTTATAGTTCTTCTTTTCCAGTTTGAATACCATTTATTTCTTTGCTGCATTGCACTAGCTAGACACCATCCAGTACAATGCTGAATAAAAGTGGTGAGGGCAGACATCCTAGCCTGGTTCCTTATCTTACGGGGAAAGCATTCAGTCTCAACATTAATTATCATAGGTGTAGGTTTTTCCTAAATGCCTTTTAACAGGTTGAGAAAGTTCTCTTAAATTCCTAGTTTTCTGAGAGTTTTTTTTTTTTTTTAATCAGAAGTAAATGTTTGAATGTTGGCTGTATTGCAGCAGATTAAATGCAGAAGCAGGTATGAGAATTTAGCAATCTTCTTTTAAGCCAGACACTAGAGAGATTTGCAGAAGTATAAGTCATTATGCTAATTTTAAAAAAATTATGTATATAGCTTTTTTCATTTTAGAATGTTATTTATGTTAATATATAATGGTTTTAATACTGCTATTTTTTAATGAATTAATATTTTAATATTTTCTCAGTTTTACTTTTTAATACCTTAAGTACTGATAGATATAACCCACCTAAACAAAAGCTCTTTAGGGTCCTCAGTAGTTTTTAAGAATGTAAAGGGGCCATAAGACCAAAAAGTTTGAGAATCTCTGATATAAAGACAAATCAGTAGGTACCTAGAAGTATTAACCGCCTCCATTTTGGGATATGGTTACATGCCGTAATAGAAAGGAAGAATTAAAGAAGTCTTTGGCCAGGTAACTTCTGTTCTTTGTGTCATCTTTGGGGAGGGTTAAGAACTATTTTTATATTTTATTTTTTTATACCTTTGTGATTTGTAGATTTCTTTTAATGTAATAGTAGTTTATACTTGCCTGTTTGACAGTCAAGAACTATAGGGTAAAAAGGTGGGAAACTTGAATTCCTCCTAGATTTGTTACTGATTTGCTTTAGAGCCTTGGGCAAGTCACATAATTCATCTTGTATTGTTTTTCTTATTTATGAAATGACACTGAGGATAAAATAACTCATACATTTAATCCTATGTTAAGAAAAACTTACAAAATATGAAATGATACATACTATTGTTAATTGTAATATAAGGAATTGCTGTGCAATGTAGTACCCTTAAGTTTAGATTTGATTTAAAATGGAATCTTACTATATTTCTTTTTCTTTTTTTGTAGAAAAAATAAATTTTGTTAAACATTTTATGGGTGAACAAATACTCTTTTTTTTTTATTGTGCTTTAGGTGAAAGTTTAGAGCTCAGGTTAATTTTTCATCCAAAAATTTGTATACATACTGTTTTGTGACATTAGTTGCAATCCCCACAATGTGATAGCACACTCGCCCTTTCCACCCCACATTCCCTGTGTCCATTTAACCAGTTCCTGTCCCTTCCTGCCTTCTCCTGCCTCTGCACAGGAGCCACCTGTTTGGTCTTGAGTATCTGATTGAACTAAGAAGTACACGCCTCATGTGTATTAATTTTTATTTTATACTCCTGTCTAATCTTTGTCTGAAAAGTGGGCTTCAGGAATGGGTTAACAGAGTGACCAGGGGCCATAGTTTCAGGGTTTCCTCCAGTCTCTGTCAGAGCATTAAGTCTGGTCTTCTTATGTGAATTTTGAGTTCTGATCCGCACTTTTCTCCTGCTCCATCTGGGACTCTGTTGTGTTCCTTGTGGTGGCCATCAAATAGAGATTTTTTTTTTTAAATAATATTTTATTGTAGTTTTTTTAATTGTACTTTAGATAAAGGTTTACAGAACAAACTAGCTTCTCATTGAACAATTAGTACACATATTGTTTTGTAACATTGGTTACCAACCTCAAGAAGTGTCAACTCTCTCCCTTCTCAACCTTGGGTTCCTTATTACCAGCTTTCCTGTCCGCTCCTGCCTTCTAGTCCTTGACCCTGGGCTGGTGTGCCCCTTTAGTCTCATTTTGTTTTATCTTGTCTAATCTTTGGCTGAAGGGTGAACCATGAGAGTGACTTCATTACTGAGCTAAAAGGATGTCCAGGGACCATACTCTCAGGGTTTCTCCAGTCTCTGGCAGGCCAGTAAGTCGGGTCGTCTTTTGTGTATTTCTTAACTTCTTAAAAACATTTTAGTTATACAATTGTTGAGTTATTGGCAAACCTGTTATTGTGTTAGGCATGGTGTGACTTGAAAATGAAGAAAATACAGTCTTTGTCCTTAAGGAGTTAATAATTTTTCAGGGGAGATAAACAGGAAAACCAAGATACATTGTAATAAATTCTGTCATAGAGGTGCATATTTGTGCTATGGGAACACAAAAAACTACAGAGATAGAGAACCATCTGTTAAGAAAATATTAGTGATTCTTATGCTATTTATTTGGCCAATTGGAATGCTGCTTTAAGAGAAGTGATAGTGAACCTGTTTTACAAAATAATAGTTAGAGTTGAATCTATTTTTCATAATAAAGGAACTTAGCCTGGACTATGAAAAACTAAGCTTTTCAATATTGCTGTGAGTTCTGATATGTAAAATCAGAGCAATCTTCTTATTTTCCATAATCACATAATGATGTAACAGCTAAAGAAGGTTATTTTATAAAACCAGATATTAGAATCCAGGAATTTCTTCCTCTAAAAGGTAATTTCAGGGCCATTTTAAACATAAAATATTAATGTGTTCAACATTAAACACAAAGATCATTTTGATTCCTATTTTTAATCAATTCCAACCTTCAGGTGATTTTTAAGTTTATTTATTTTTTGATTAGGCTAAGATGATAGCAAAGAGTCTCACATATAGAAGTTAACTTTCAGAGTCTGAAGTTTGTACTCAGAGTTTCCCTATACAAGATTCAGAATGCATCTGCTTTGGGTAACTAGTAAATAGAGTCACCAGATGGCAGCCTTATCAGTTAAGTGTAATCTCGTGCAACTTAAGTATAATATAGGAAGTACTGTTTTGTTAGGGAATAAATACATTGAAGACTTGTAAAAATATTACTAGTATAAGTGGGAATTTGCATACAAAGTAGATGTGTCTTGGATTTCATTAATTAATAATATCAGACATTTATATAGTATTCTTTTTATGTGTAGACACATAATAACTAACTTATTTAATTCTCTAAATAATTATATGAGATGGATACTATTATTGTCCCCATTTCCAGAGGAAGAAACTGAGGCACAGCGAGGTTATATAGTATACCTTAGCTAAGTCATATAGCTGGTTAAATTGGGAAGCTAGAATTGGACCCCAGGCATTCTGGTTCCAGGTCCATGCTCTTAACCATTGCACAATACTATCCTTTTTCTGAAACTACTGAAAGCATCCATTGTAATTTCCTCTTAACAAGTGTGTTGTCCTGTGAGGTGAACTCTACACTCAGATGGTATGCTTAACTTGAGAGTGTTTTGCATCCTTGCACCTACAGGCAATGCTGCCACCATTCATCTAGCTTCCCAAGCTCCATAATTTCTTCTGGTTCCTCAGGTCTAGTGTTTCTAAATCCTGCGTATTATACTTTTAACTCAGCTCATCTCCGTTCCCACTTTCTCCACTGTCTTGATCCTGACCTTTAGTATCTATGACCCGATTATTGCAATAGTTTCCTGGTTGGTCACCGTGCCTTCTGTGTCTCTTCACTTCCATTCTTTTCCTCCAGGCGGCAGGGTTTTTTTTTTTTTTTTTTTTTTTTTAATTTAAAATCCTTATCAGGTTGATTATGGCACTACTATGATTGTAAAGGAGCCCTAGTGTTGCAGTGGGTAAAGCGATCGACTGCTAACTGAAAGGTCAGTGGTTCGAAACCACCAGCGGCTCCGCAGGAGAAAGATGTGAGAGTCTGCTTCTTTAAAGATTTACAGCCTTGGAAACTCTGTGGGGTTGCTATGAGTCGGAATCGACTTGACGGCACTGGGTTTTATTTTTTGATATGATTGAAAAATGTCGAATAATACCCATTATCATGAGATCAAATCCAAATATCCTGGCTTACGAGACCCTTCTTTCTGAAGATGGTTCCATCTCTAACTCCATCTGCTGCCCTGTATTACCCTATAGTCCCAGAAGGCTCTCTGAATATATTACGTTCTTTTGTCCTCCTTGTCTTTACCCATGTTCCCTTTTCCAAAGTGTTCTCCCTTCCACTTTGCCGGGTAAAGATTTGCTCATCCTACAAGCCAGAGCTCATTCTGTAGCTTCTATAAATCCTTCCCTGACTTAAACAGCTGGAATCATCTCTTCTCCCTGCTCCAGAAGCGGTATTCTACTATATATTTGTCATATTGAATTATAGTTGTTTATCACTTTCCTTCACTAGACCTTGGGTTTCTCATATTACACATTGTTTGGCAGGTAGGTGTTCATTAAGTGTTTTGATTCAGTGATTAAATATATTAAATCTTTAAAACTTTCTCCATAGGTGCTGCAGATGATTACAATAGAATTGGTTCTTCATTATATGCTTTAGGAACTCAGGATTCTACAGATGTATGCAAGTAAGAATTTTGATTAAAGCATTAAGTGAAAAAAAATCTCTGTTGGCGATCTGGGCACGTGTAATACTTCTGACTCAGGCAGGCATTTTGCAATGTTTTTGTCAAAAAAACAAATTGGTAATAAGGAGTTTTGTCGTAAACGTGGGTTGGTGTCTTTTTTTCCCTTCCCTTTTCTCTCCTGTATGTTTAAATCTGAGGAGTAAAATAAATTTTAATGTGTAATTTTACATTTACAGTGTTTTACACAATGAAAATAGGTTGACTTGTGTGAAAAGCAGAGAAAATTTGTATCAGAGTGTTCCTAGGTTTTGAAAGAGTTTATCATAAATAAGCAATGCTAATTTGTAATTAGATATATATATGTATGTATTTTATTGGAAGCCAAATTGACTTTTAAAGTAAGATTGGATGCTACAAGTTTGCACTTTTTGAAGAGGCTATTATAGATTTTATAGTAAAGTGAATCTTAGTCAATCCTAGGATGACTGGGTGTGGAAAGTGTTGAGCATATTAGTGTAGAAAAGCTCTCTGGAAGTTTGCTTACAGAGCTGCCCTTTATTTATGCTAGTTTTTTCATTTTAATTTTAATGTACTTTTAGCATTAAGTTGATTTTAGTTGCTTATGTAATATTGTTTAAACCCAGCTCTTCCTTGAAAAATACTTTCAGTTTATTTAAAAATGTTTTTTAAGTGGGAACGCTATTTTCGTAGTCTGTGCCTTTCTCCCAACTGCATCCTTGAACTTTCCTCTAGTATATCCTCTCGGTGACATTTAAGGTCCAAGCTTTTCAGCAAAGCAAGGTACCATAGCTTACGCTAATTAACATACTACTTTCCCAAATAGTTAATTCTTCAGTCTTTGGTAAGAAGATAAAACTCAACCTTGCCGTGTGTCAGCCAACAACCTGTCAAAGCAGGTTCTTTTCAATAAAAGCAAAGTTCGTAGACTTGTATTTTTGCTTTCAGTAGTATTTGCCTGAATTTAATTATAATATCCTCTGTAATTACATGTTTTACAGATTATCCTTTAATAGTTCAGCATTGGGATTTTTTAAATTGGTGTCAGCATTTGACATATAGGCTATTTAGTTAAAGTGAATTCTGAGGTAGAAATTGGTTATTTAGTAGTTAATTTGTTATTTTCCAAAACAAAGCAGCTGTCTCTGAAAATGTTAGTATCTGTTAGTAACAGTTCTTGAAGTATCAGATACTTCAAGAACTGCTCCAACTTCAGTGTTTTCCTTTTAAATAAACCTGTTGTCTCTGGATGTGATTGCTGTGTGCATCTGTAATTGTTTTGAAGGTATAGGCTTTATTTCGTATTATGCGGCATATTAGTAAAGATATCAAGATAAATTTTAACATAGGACTTAATTTGCCGTCTTGAAACAAAATGGGCAGATTTTCTGTAACATTTCATGTAGTCTGTTATATGGATGGAAGTACAAGAGAGATTTTTATTGAACTAAGTGAAGTCTGCAGTTAACAAGACCATTCAGTGTTAATTGTAATGAGACGAGAATGTTCATTATTAATGTGGTTTGGAGACATAGTCTATGAACATTTGAAATGAAAGATTATTTCAAAAGTAGCTTCTAATGAAAATATTTTTCCCTTCTAGGTTTTTTCTCAAAGTTTCAGAACTGTTTGATAAAACAAGAGTAAGTACCGTTAATGAACCTTTGGGAATCTAAATCTGCATGCAGCAGTATTTAACTTGTTGTGTTTGTGTCTCACTTTTTTGAAGAATGTGGGTTAAACTCAGTAGGAAGAAGAGACAGATTTGGATTCACTTGAGAGTTTTTTAGGAAATTGAGTTTTTGTTATGTCCTTTTGGTATTTGTGTATTTGGTATATGTAAAAATTTATATTCTTGATCATCATACATGTCCATTTGGAGACAGGGTTTACTTTTATGAAGAATGATCCTTTTCTGGGATCATTTTTTTTTTTTTAAACTAAGAGGAAGTCCTAGATTCATTATAACTGCCAAAACTGTTTTTGTTTTGATCCCCCGTGGCACGCTGTTTTAAAATAAGTTGTGTAACTATGAGTCAAGTGTACAACTGCAGAAAGCTTGTACTCATAGTCATTATTTAATATAGACATAGTCCTGATTTTCAGGAATCAGTCCTAGATACAATAATATTTAACATTTTCATCAGTTGATTGAATAGTGAAAATATTTATCAGATGTTTAATGATACTTAGCTGAGAGTGGTGGTGGCTAGTCCAGTGTAGAAATCCAAATTCAGCATGACCTTGCCAGTTGAGTGATGTGTATGTAGTAAAAGGAAACAGCCCTTAAAAACGTGGGTGTTATTATCCTGGAGGCCATATAGCCCATCATTCTGCCTTTGATATCAGTGAGTATTTTCTGGGGAGATATAGTTGTTTTATTGTGCATTTACATGAAAAGAATAGGGACCTAAAAACCACCGCTATAGTTAAAGTTTTCCTGTGTACCTATGTATTGTTTCTCTGCTTCCTTCTCCTCCTCTTCAGAGGTAACCACCATCTTGAATTTGGTGTTCATCATCCCCATGACCTCTTTATACTATGACTACCGTATGTATTCCCAAATGAAACATAGTATGATTTTATTTTCAAACTTTATATAAAGTGTATCATAGTCTTTAAAAAAAAAAAAAAATTATTGGACCTATCACAAAGTAAGCTTATATCAGTTCAGGTTCCTCTGAGAAGCAGACATCAAAATGGGATCAGGTATGCAAGAGATTTATTGGAGGAAATGCCTGTGTAAAGAGGAGAAGTAGCAGTAGGCAGGGAGATCCTTTAGACCTTGATGCACGTTTGACATCTGGTGGCCAGCGAGAGGAATGGGTAGGAAAAGTCTTAGACTGCAGCACAGCTCTAAGAAAGTTTCTGCCAGGGCAGTGGGGAGTCCCCAAGCCAGAGTTGCTCATTAGAGGAGTCCCACATCAGGTTAAAATAGTACTGTCCCCAGAGCTGTCATTCGTTGGGTGCAGCCTGAGGCAGAGAATGGAGGTTGAAGCATAAACTTGGCATGAACACAGTTCTAGATCCAGAGGGATCATATTTGGAGATATCAATCAACCATGCTCCTTGCAACAGTTTATCTTTAAAGAGATCTGGGTGATACATTTCCATGACCACATCCTTATTTCCTTTAGCGTTTGCATGTTCTGGTTATTATTGCTGCATAACAAGTCATCCCAAAATCAGTAGCATAAAATAACAACCATTTCATTATGCTAATGAATTTGTTAGGTCAGGAATCAGAAAGGACACAGCAGAGATGGCTTTCTTCTGCTCCATGTCTGGGGCCTCAGCTGGGAAGATAAGAAGGCTGAGGCCTGGAATCATCTGAAGACTCTTTGACGCCTCTGTGGGAGGTTGATACTGGCTGTCAACTAGGACTTCTGCTAGGGCTGTCGGCTAGAACACCTTCATGTTGCCTCTCTGTGGAGCTGCTTAAGCTTCTTCACAACATGGTGACTAGGTTTCAAGAGTGAGCAGCCCAAGAGAAAGAAAGTAGAAGCTGCTAGTTTCTTAAGGCCGTGGCCTGGAAACTGGCACAGCATCACTTCTGCCATACTGGTCAAGCAGTCTTGGAGCCCAGATCCAAGGGGAGGGGACACGGACCCTACTTCTCAGTGGAAGGAGAGGAGCCATATTTTAAAACAGTTACACCTTTCTAGCATGTTATTGATTGATTTATCTAAATTAATTTTGAACAAGTGTTGTCTATACTCTTATTTATTTGGTTATGAAGTTTCCTAAGTTTATTTCTGTATACCAAACCAAACCCACTGCCGTTGAGTCGATTTCCAACTCATAGCGACCCCATAGGGTTTCCAGGGCAGTAAATCTCTGTGGAAGCAGACTGTCACGTATTTTTCCCACAGAGCTGCTGGTGGTTTCGAACCACTGACCTTTCAGTTAGCAGTCCATTGCTTTAACCACTGCACCGCCAGGGCTCCTTAAAGTAGTATTCTTAAGGTGCTTCGAGTTTTTTCTGATTTTTTAATTGAAGTATAATATACATATAGGAAAGAGCACATATCAGAAGTGTATAGCTCAGTGAATTTTTCCATATTAACATACCTGTGTAATCTACACCCAGCACCATTACCTGTGTAATCAATACCATTACTAGCAACCCAGATGATATGCACGCGCACACATGCACACCCCATAGTTGCCTTCTAAGTCACCATTTCCTGCAAGGGTAACCACTATCCTAACTTCTAACAGCAGATGATAGTTTTGCTTGTTTTTATACTTTATATAAATGCACTATGCAGTACATAGCCTTTTAGTCTGGCTTTATTAGTATCATGTCCCTAAGATTCATCCATGTTATTGCACATAGGTATAGTTCCTACATTCTTACTGCTGTATAGTATTCCACTGTAAGAATATACGTAAATTTATTTTATCTGTTCTACTTTTGGTAGTCATTTGGATAGTTTCTAGTTTGGGGCTCTTTACAAATACTGCTGCTGTGAACATTCTTGTATATCTTCTGCTGATCATTAAGTGTGCATTTCTGTTGCGTGTATATAACTAGGCAGGGAATTGGTGGGTCATAGGGTGTCCATATGAAAAGCTTAAGTAGATACCAAAGTAATTTTACCAATTTACACTACCACCAGACTGAATGTGAGGTACGGGTTGCTCTGCAAGCTTGCTAATACTTGAAAGTTTCCTTTTTTTAGTTTTAGCCATTCAGATGGGTTTTTTTTTTTTTTTTTTTAATTTAACTTTTTGTTTTGATAATCATTTTAGACTTACAGAAAAGTTGCAAGAATATCACAGAGAATTCCTGTACACACTTCACCCAGATTTCCTGAATGCTAACATTGCCCCACATTGCTTATTTTGCTCCAGATTTTTCAGAAACTCCATGTTCACTGTTTTGTGCCCTTTCTGTGTATTCTCCCTTTTTTTAATAAGAATTATTTTTAATATAACCAATACTTTATCACACTTAATAAAACTAACAGTCATTTCTCTTAATGTCAAAGATGCAGTATACAAATTTTCCCAGTTCTCTCATAAATGGCTTTTTACAGTGGAGTTTGACTCGGGATCCCAACAAGGTCTGCATATTGCATTTAGTTGATATGATGCATTCGTCTTTATCCTCTCTCTCTCCAAACTGAAGAGTTCTCTTCTTTTTAGTCTGACTTGGCTACTTCCCATTCCATCCCAACTCAGAATTTCCACATCTGTTTATTATTCTGTATGTTTTCAAGCACAGTTTTTAATTATTTGACTAGGTTTTCTAGTTGTCCTCAGCAGGAGGATTGGTTTGAATTACCTCATCTACCATTGCCAGCCTTTACTACTTTAAAATACATATAATTCTGTGTGTACTGTCAGTTGCTGTTGAAATGAAGAGAGAGAGAATATAAATGAAGCTGAAAGATGATATTGAAACTCATTATAGTCAGAAACTTGAATCAAATAGAGTCCTTACCTAAATTCACTAATCTCATGTGATCTCATCTGTTTTCATTTTATTTTTTTGTCAGAGTTGCAAAGTAATGGGCTAGTAAGAAGGAAAAGGGGAGGAAACCTTGATAAAATAGGATAGGATATGATACTAATTTATAACTCTTATCTTTTTCACAGTAATTATTAAAGACAACTCTGAGAGAAGAATGTAATTGCTGATTAAATTTCCATTTTGTTTCCTTTTTCAGAAAATAGAAGCTCGAGTGTCTGCTGATGAAGACCTCAAACTTTCTGATCTTTTAAAATATTACTTAAGAGAATCTCAAGCTGCTAAGGTAACTTTATTGTTCATTGTCTTTTTAAATGAGCTTTTTTATAAAGAGCCATGTCTTTAGAAATTGATAGACTTAAGATTATTACAGATGACTTATTGCCTGATTTTTTTTTTTTTTAGTTTTATTGTGGTAAAAATATATATAAGAAAATGTTTGCCAATTCAGCAGTTTGGGTTTTGTTTTTGTTTTTGTTTTTCCACTCCCTCCCAACATTTTAATATGAAAAGTTTCAAACATTAAGCAAAGTTAAAAGAAGTTTACAGTGAATACCTATATACTAGATTCTACCGTTATCATTTACAATACTTGCTCTTATATAGCTACCCATCCATTCATTCATTATTTTTTGCTGCATGTCAAGGTAAATTATAGATAATACTACACTTCCCCTTCAGTATTTCAGGGTGCATACCATTAACTAGAGTTCAAGAATTCTTTACAGTTTTTACTTCTGATACAAATTTATATACACTGAAATGAAAAATTCTTGAGTCTACAGTTGCTGAAAATTGACAAATACATATACCTGTATAGCACAATCCTCTATGAAGTTATAGAATATTTGCATGATACCAGAAACCTTCATCATGTCATTCCCAGTCAGTCCCTCTCCCATTCTCCAGAGACAATGATTGTGATTTTTTTTTTAACCCAAAAGTATTTTTCTTGACCTGTTCTAAAATTTCATGAAATGGAACTACACCACTCTTATGTCTAGCTTCTTTCACTCAACATAATGTCTTTGAGATTTATCCATGTTGTTCCATATATCAAGAGTTTATTTATATTGATGAGTAGTATTCTATTATATGAATATATCACAGTTTGTCCATGTGTCATCAATAGAAGAATGGATAAACAATTTAAAGTTTTTGACTATTATGAATAAAATCGCTGTAAAAAATTGTAAGTCCTTTTGTGAACACATGATTTCATTTCTCTTGGATGAATATCTAGGAGTAATTCATGTGTCATAGGGTATGCATATGTATAGTGTTAAAAGAAACCACTAGAACTTTTCCAAAGTAGCTGTACCATATTATAGGCTTCTCAAGTATCCAGTCCAGGATATAGAGGAGGCAGTAAGAAAACCTAGAAAACTCACTGCCGTGTCTCTTCTGGAGTCCTGAATTCTCTCTGGCCATCTCTCAAGAGTTTTCTTATGTTTAGTTTATGTATAATGCCCAGAGTTTTTGGGCAGAATGGGGAGAAATGTATCTATTTCATCTTGTTTAGAATCAGAAATGTATTGTTAATTTAATTTTATATTTTGTATTATTGTAAATGTATATTTACATTATATTTGCCAATTCAACATTTTTTACATGTACAATTCAGTGACACCAATTACATTAATCATGTTGTGCAACCATCACCAGTATCCATAGCCAAGTTTTCTATCATCATAAACAGATGCTTCCTAAACAATGACTCACCTTTTCTCCCTCCCTCTTGCCCCTGGTAACCACTAGGAAACTTTAGTCTGTTTACATTTGCCTGTTCTAGATATTTCATATATGTGGGATCATAACAATATTTGTCCTTTTGTGATTGACTTACTTCACTCATCATAGTGTTTTCAAGGTTCATCCCTGTTGTAGCATGTATCAGGACTTCATTTCTCTTTAGGGCTGAGTAATACTCCATATGTTTTATTTTTAGGCAAATAAGATGTCCTTTTGGAAGGCTATCTGTGTCCAAGACTAAAAACTCTTAGAAATACAAAAATATTTTTAAACAAAAACACTGAAAACTTAGTGGCTCAGACACTCCAAATTCATTGTTAATTTATGAATTGAGATATTGTACAGAAAATTTCCATCTGATTAGTGATGCTTTGAATATAGTTCTTTTATTCCCTATCAGATTGTCAAAAAACCTTTTAATGTTGGATACTTAGGTAATTGCAAATCAAATATCCATAGAAGAAAACAGACATAAGTCTCTGGGAACTGGGATAGGCAAGGTTAGATATGCCACCAAAACAGAAGCAACCAAAGAAAAAACAATAAATTGAACATCATCAAAATTAGGAACTTTTCTGTGTCAAAGGACACTATCAGTGTGGAAAGACAACCCACAGAATAGGAGAAAATATTTGTAAATCATAAATCTGATAAGGGACTAATATCCATATCCAGAATCTATTGAAAACTCTTACAACTCAATAAGAAGACAAATAACCAAATTTAAAAATAGGCAAAAGATTTGAATAGACATTTCTCCAAAGATTTATAAATGGTCATTAAACACATGAAAAGATGTTTAACATCAGTAGCTATCAGAGAAATGTAGCTCAAAACCACAGTTACGTACCATTTCACATCCACTGAGTGGATTTATTCAAAACTTACTATAATTATAACTTATATAAAAACATAAAACTATAAAAATAACAACTATATAATTATAATTACTATAAGAATAAGTCTTGACGGAGATGTAGAGAAATTTGGTGGGAATATAAAATGGTGCAGCCCTTTGGAAAACAGTTTGGCAGTTCCGCAAAAGGTTAGAGTTATCATCTGATCCAGCATTCCGCTCCTAGGTGTATACCCAAGAGCACATGTATGTCCACACAAAAACTTGCACATGAATGTTCATAGCACCATTATTCATAATAGCCAAAAAATGAAAACAACTGGTGAATGGATAAGTAAAATGAGGTATATCCATACAGTGAAATTCAGCAGTGAAAAGGAATGAAGTACTGATTTGTGCTATAACATGGATAAACTTGGAAACATGCTGAATGAATTATTAAATGGGAACCTAATTTGCTGTGTAAACTTTCACCAAAAACATAATAAAATATTTTTAAAAAATTAAAACATGTCTAAATATCCAGTTAAGGACATTGTTATACTTGTGCTGAACAAGACTAGGTCTACAAGATTTGATTATTAGTGATCTATTAAAAAATACCATCACGAATTTCTTTTAAAGGGTGATATGTCATAAACCTACACCAGTTATGGTGGTTTAACACCTAATTTAAATCCCTCACGGTCTAATAACCATGTCTTGCTGCTTAACTGGATTCCTGCCTTTGGTAATCTGTGCTGAACGAGACTGCTCCAGTTCTACAAGACCTGTTTGTCGATAGTCTTTTTAAAAATAGCATCATGCATTTTTTTAAAAAACAAATGCATCATAATCCAACAACCTTGATGATGGTTTTAATTATTAATACAGATCCAGCACAGTATGCTAACCATGGTTCACTGCACAGATAGATTCCTGTCTCTATGCCCTCAACTGCTGGATCTCCTGTGCTCTCATCAGCCACCGGAAGGAAGTTTTCTCTGCTTAACTCTCGGCTTTCATAATTTTTACAAGCTCTACCTGCCTGACCGAGAAGACATGTTTGAAATTGATCAAATAAACCCATCTCTAAATGGCAAAAAAAAAAAAAAGGCTGAATGAAAGAAGCCACATATTGCCATTCCATTTTTATGAAATATCCAGAATGGACAAATCTATAGAGATAGAAAACAGATTACTGGTTGTCTAGGGCTGTAGGGCAGGGGCTGGTGGTGGGGTGGAGAGTGACTGCTAATGGGTGTGGAGTTTCTTTTGGAGGTGATGAAAATGATGTTTGAAAATTGATTGTGGTGATGGTTGCACAACTCTGTGTAAGTACTAAAAATCATGTGAATCGTATATCTTAAATGGATGAATTGTATGCAAATTATATCAATAAAGCTGTTATTAAAAAAATTGAGAACAGTGACTGGCACATAGTATTCAGTGTGTGTTAACTCTAATTATGATGGCAGTGATGATGGTTGAGTGTAACTACTGGAAACACACAGTATATATTACTGTGAAGCATTCTGTTTTATAGGATCTCCTGTATAGAAGATCTAGGTCTCTAGTGGATTATGAAAATGCTAATAAAGCACTGGATAAAGCAAGAGCAAAAAATAAAGATGTTCTGCAGGCTGAAACTTCCCAACAATTATGTTGTCAGAAATTTGAAAAAATATCTGAGTCTGCAAAACAAGGTACTGTTATATTAACCATTATTCACATATCTAGATATGTTTTAGATTGTTATATAAGTTAAATCATTAATCCTGCGTTCTTATATTCACAGAACTTATAGATTTTAAGACAAGAAGAGTTGCTGCATTCAGAAAAAATTTAGTGGAACTGGCAGAGTTAGAACTGAAGCATGCTAAGGTAGTGTCATATTAAAGACTTAATAATTTAAATGCTTTTTATTTAGAAATCAGTTTGGAAATTGGTAATAGTCCTTTAATGACAGTTGTCTTCTACAAGTATTCTATAAAAACTATTCCTGAATTGGAATTGTTTTCCATGATAATTTGACTGCTTCAAACTCATTTATCCTAGTAAATAATTCTTCTTCTTCCAGTCTTTTTTTTTACAGTGTTTACTTCTAATTAAGCTCCTTCTTGTAGCTAATATAAAGATAAAGCTTGGCCTAAACCAAAAAGCCTTCCTTACTACAAACATCATTTCAAAATTTATTTTGCATTTGTTTTCATTGTTTCAGGTGAAAGTTTACACAGCAAATTATGTTTCCATTTAACAATTTTTATACAGATTTTTCCATGACATTGGTTACAGTTTCTACAATGTGTCAGCATTCTCAGTATTTCCATTCTGTTTCCATGTATCTATCCCATTTATCTAGCTTCCCTGCCCCCTGCTTGCCTTCTTATCTTTGCTTTTGGGTAATTGTTGACCTTTTGGTCTCGTGTAGTTGATTGCTTAAGGGAGCACATTCCTCATGGGTGATACTGTTTATTCTGTAAGTCAGTCTATTAATTGGCTGAAAGGTGACCTTCTGGAGTGGCTGGCTTCAGTTCCAAGTTAAAAGGGTATCTTAGGGCCATAGTCTTGTAGGTTTCTCTTGTCTCTATCAGTCCAGTAAGTCTGGTCTTTTTCAGGAATTGGAGTTTTGTTCTACGTTTTTCTTTTGTGTCCCTTCTATTTATTGATTGATTGATTGATTGTACTTCAGGTGAAGGCTTACAGAACAAATAGTTTCTCATGAAACAGTAGTACACATACTGTTTTATGACGTGGTTAACAACCCCACAACATGTCAACCCTCTCCCTTCTCAACCTTTTTTTTTTTTTTTTTTTTGGTGAAAATATACATAGCCAAAGATACACCATTTCAAAAATTTCTGCATGCACAGTTCAGTGACATTGACTACACTCTTCCAATTGTGCTGTTATTCTCACTTAAGATGAAGGCTTACAGAACAAAATAGTTTCTCATTTAACAGTTACTACAAATGTTGCCCTATGACAATGGTTAACAATCTCACAACACATCAACAATATCCTTAGTCAACCTTGGGTTCCCTATCACCAGCTTCCTTGTCCCCTTCTGCCTTCTGGCCCTTGTCACTGGACTACTGTACCTCGTTAGTCTCATTTGGTTTTACGGGGCTGTCCACTCCCAGGCTGAACAGTGAACCTCGGAGATAACTTCACCACTGAGCTAAAAGGATGTCTGGGGGCCGTACTCTCAGGGTTTCTCCAGTCTCCTTTAGGCCAGTAAATCTGGTCTTTTTTTTTGTGAGTTAGAATTATGTTCTACATCCTTCTCCAGCTCTGTCCAGAACCCTCTGTTGTGATCCTGGTCAGAACAGTCAGTGGTGGTAGCCAGGCACCATCTAGCTGTACTGGACTCAGTCTGGTGGAGGCCTTGGTAGCTGTGGACAGTTAGTCCTTCGGACTAATCTTTTCCTTGTATCCTGTTCTCTTCATTCTCCCTTGCTCCTGAAGGGATGAGACCAGTGGAGTATCTTAGATGGCTGCTCACAGGCTTTTAAGACCCCAGACACTACTCACCAAGGTAGAATGTAGAGCATTGTCTTTATAAGCTGTGTCATGCCAGTTGAGCTAGATGTTCCCCGAGACCATGGTCCCCACAGCCCTCTGCCTAGCAGTTCAGTCCCTCAGGGAGTTTGGATGTGTCTGTGGGGCGTGTCCCTTCTATTTATTGTGTCCCTCGTCAGATGGTCCATAGTGGTAGCCGAGTACCATCCAGTTCTGGTCTCAGGCTAGAAGAGGCTGTAGTTTGTGTGAGCTATTAGTCCTGTGGATTAGTTTGTTCTTTGAGTCTTTGATTTCCTTCATTCTCTTTTGCTCTAGTTGTATCTTAGATGGCTGCTCGCAAGCTTTTAAGACCCCAGATGCTACTTACCAAACTAGGCTGTAGAACATTATCCTTATTAATTATGTTATGCCAGTTGACTGAGTTGTCCCATGAGACTGTGATCCCAAACCCTTTTACCCAGTAAACCAATCCTTCGAGGTGTTTGGATATGTCTAGGATGTCTCCATAACTGTGCCCCTTATGTACTTTATTATATATATAAATATATATGCAGCACACCCAAACGTGTATATACTTACGCCTACAAATATACCCATATATGCACGTGCATGAACTCATATATGCCTTTCTGTGCACATGCAGGATACATATATACCTATGTAACCACACATCTTTTGGTTGCTATCACTTACTGCAAAATTGTATGTGTTAAAGCATTTACCACAATTTTCCTTTATTCTTATGTACTTCTTCTCAGTGTCTTCATTTACTTTAGTCAAGTTGTGCTGACTTCTCTTAAATAAACTTTTAAATGATATTTTGTGTAAATTTATAGCATTTGTACTTCTGGAGTTGTTAAAGCTTAAAACTGCACTAAGATTTTTGGGATACCCTATGGAGTCCCTGGGTAGTGCGAACAATTAGGCGCTTAACTACTAGCTGAAAGATTAGCGATTCGAGCCTACCCTGAGGTGCCTTGGAAGACAGGCCTGGAGATCTGATTTCAAAAAGTCGCATCCTTGAAAACCTATAGAGCAGTTCTGCTCTGCACACATGGGTTTGCCATGAGTCAAAATTGACTCGACAGCAAGTAACAATAACAACATAATGACCACAAATATACTTCTGTGTAAGTTCAACCTATTGGTCAAAGTTCTGTTGTCTGCAGTAATAAAGATCAGTTTAATTCCCCTTTTATAGTTTAAATACTTTATATTTTCCGTGTATCTTCTCTAGGTTAGACATCCTTAAGGCTAAATATTTTTCGTCCCATCCATCCATCCACCTCAGCAAGGTTTTTATAATACGTTAACCTCCTGTTACTGCTGTTTTAAAATGTTACACCCAGAACTGGAAACATTTTTCGAGATTGTACACATTTCTCCTTACAGCATTTTTTGTACATGTAAGGTAGTTTTGATTTTTTTTAAACTGTCATATTGCACCGGCTTGGTTTGGCTTATAATCATCAGATTTTTTTCCTTATAAGTCAGTTCTTGAACCTCCAACCTATAGTTTTACGTGTCTAATTTTTGAAAATGTAGTTGTAGACTTTCATTTTATGTCTCTTAAATTTTAGCTTGCTATTTTTTGCCCATTGTATTAAGATCTTTCTGAAACTATATGATTTGATTTTATAGTATTTGATTATCATACTATCGTATAGTATTTGATTGTAGTATTTGATCTTATAGTTATTCCTCCTTGGTGATGGACATTTGTAATTTATATGAACTGCCTTTTATGTCTATCTAGGCTTTGATTTAAAAAAAAAAAAAAATTAAACAGGACCAAAGAAACGAACATTTCGCCAGTCTACTTATAAATACACAAAAGTATATAATAATAAAAAAAAGGCTAGTTTTTTTTTGTTTCCTTTCCTTTGCTTTTATATTAATTGGTATCAGTTTATTAATTAATATTCTTTGGTTATAGTTATTCAGATGGTTTTGAATTCACCTAACCTTACAGTCATCAACCAATATTTCTTCATTTTATCCATGAAGGATATTAAGAAATATCAAATTCCTTATTGAAATCAAGATAAATGTTATGGGATTTCCTTGTCTAATAACCCTATCAAAAGAAAATGTCTTGATGCGCTTGGTATGATTTATTCTTACTGAGCCTGTGTGAGTTTCTAATGTTCACTGATCAAGAATTTTGCAGTAGATCAAAAGTTGCTTTCAAGTGGACTCTGACTCATGGTGACCCCTTGAGTGTCAAGAGTAGAACTGTGCTCCCAAGGGTTTTCATTGCTGGTATGTAGGAAGTAGATTGCTAGGCCTTTTTTCCAGGGGCTTCTGGGTGAACTCAAACTTCTAGCCTTTGGGTCAGCAGCCGTGCATGTTAACCATTTGTACCACCCAGGGACTCCTGCTATAGATCAGGGATTGGCAAGCTATAGCCTATACGTTTTTGTACAGTCTACTAGCTAGGAGTGGTGTTCAGTTTTAAATGGTTGGAAGAAAGGGAAAAGAATATTGTATAACGTGACAATTACATGAAATTCAAATTTAAGTATCTGTAAATAAAGTTTTATTGGAAGACAGCCATGCTCCTTTGTTCACGTATCGTCTCTGGCTGCTTTCACACTGCTACAGCAGAGTTGAGTGGTTGGGATAGAGACCATAGGTCTCGCAAAGCCTAAAATGTTTACCTTTTAGCCCTTTACAGAAAATGTTTGCTGACACCTGTTACAGATTGATGTCAGCCTCTGATTTCCACATTTTACACTTTTTCACATCCTCTCTGAAATGAGTTCTCTATCTTAAGATTTCTGGTCTCTTTTATTCCACTGGTTCTCAACTGGAGCCGATTTTGCCCCCTCGTGGATAATATCTGGAGACATTTGTAGTTGTCACAACTGGGGGCAGAGGTTATTACTGATAATCTAGTGTGTAGAGGCTAGGGAGGCTGCTACACATCCTGCAATGCACAGGACACCCCCACAACAAAGAATTATCCAGCCCAAAATGTCCTTGGTGCTGAGGTTGTGAAACTGTTCTGCCTCTTTGATTTCTTAAATCTGAATGAGGTCCCATTTCCTCCCAGAATCCACATACATTGTTTCAAAAAGAATAGGTAATAAATTCACAGAAAAATGGTGTGAAACTACTTTGGATTTTATTTATTGTATTGGGATATGTCTCGGCACATAATTGAAATCTGATTATAACAGAAAACCATGTCGTTAGGTCACTTTTGTGTCCTTGAAAAGAGTCTCAAATTCCTTATTGATGTACAAAATGTATGATAAGGGCAGTAAAAAAGAAAAAAAAAATGATAATGGTGACTACTGAGGGTATGAAGACAGTACTCTTGTGCCTGGTTGATAAAGTATAGAGTGGTGTCCACCCTTTTGGAGGGCAGAATGGCAGCGTGTCAGAATGCAAAGTGTTCATCTTGTGACCCAGCAGTCCCATTTGAGGAATATCATTTTACCTTCAAGGTTATTTCACAAATATAAAAAGAACTGGGCTCAAAGTCATTTGTCACAGCTCTGTTGTTGTACTGGCAAAAAACTGATAGTAACCTAATTTTTTTTTTTGTTAATTTTAACGTAAATTCAGTCACATTTAATTCCAGACATTCAGCAAAGTTGCAAGAAAAGTACAGAGAATTCCTGGACACTGTTCACCTCAGGAAACCCTGGTGGCATAGTGGTTAAGAGCTCAGCTGCTAACTGAAAGGTCAACAGTTCAAATCTACCAGGTGCTCCTTGGAAGTCCTCTGGGGCAGTTCTCCTCTGTCCTGTATGGTCGCTATGAGTCGGAATTGACTCGATGGCAATGAGTTTGGTTTCTTGGTTTTTTTATTCACCCTAATTCCCCAAATGTATTTATCTCTTTTTTTCCCTCTCTCACTCCTTCACTCACTCCTTGCTCCCCTCTCCCCTCTCTCTATACACACACACAAATACCTGTACACCTATTTTTTCCTTGAACCATTTAAGAGTATGTTGCAGACATGATGTCCCTTCACCCATAAACACTTCAGTGTGAATTTGCAAAAACCAAAAATTCTCTTATGTAACTACAGTATAATTATAAAAATCAGGAAATCAATATTGAAACAGTTCTATTTAATCGATGGACCTTATTCACATTCCACCACTTGTCTCAGTAATGTCCTTTATAATAAAAGGAAACCCATGATAATGTGTTGGACTTAGTGCACATGACTTTTTAAGACTTCTTTAGTCGGGAAAAGTTTCTGAGTCTTTGTATTTCATAACATTGACGTTTTTTAAGAATACAGGCCTATTTATAGAATGTCCCTCAATTCAGGTTTGTCCTCTGTCCCTTAACAGTCAGATTCAGGTTATGCCTTTTGGCAGGAGCACCACAGAAGTAATCTTCTTGGTGGATCATCTCAGGAGGCACACGTGGATCATTTGCCTTACCGGCAAGGTTAACTTTGACTATTTGGTTAAGGTAATGTCTACCAGGTTTCTCAGTGGCAAAGTTACTATTTTACACTTTGGAATTAAGAAGTACTCTGTGGGGAGATGATTTATGACTATAAATATCCCATTACTCAACCAGTGCTGTCCAAATAGAACTTTGTCCAGTAAAACGATGGAAATGTTTGTAATCATCACTGCCCAGTACAGTAGCCTCTAGCCACATGTGGATATCAGGTACTTGAAATGTGAGTAGTACAACTGAGGGGCTGGGTTTTTAATTTTATTTCATTTTAATTAATGGAAATATAAGTTTTAAATAGCTACACAGGGCTAATGGCTGCAGTATTAACAGTGCAACCACGTAAAGTTATAGCATCCATTAATAGTTCTTGCCTGAATCAGTTATTATGATGGTTGCCAAATGGTGATTTTTCTAATCCCATCATTCCGTTTGCATTTTAGTTGACAGTGTACTTTAAAGAATAGCTTTCCCTTCTCCCCCATTTATATATTAATGTAACCTAAATATATTTAAATTTGGTTTTGCACGTTCTCTAAAATTTGAACAAAGTTCGTGTGTTTTACAAATTGGTGCTTAGGTATGAATTTTATAGAATAGTTTCATACGTAATCTTACTCTTTATTGTTTTATTGTGATAAAAACACATATAATAAAACATTTGCCAATTCAACATTTTTTAAATGTACAGTTCAGTTACATTCATCATGTTTATGCATCCATCACCACTATCCATTTCCAAATTATTCCACCATATAAGTGGGGTCATACAATATTTGTTCTTTTGTGACTAATTTATTTCACTCAGCATGTTATCAAGACACATTCATGTTGTAGCATGTATCAGGACTTCATTTCTCTTTCTGGCTGAGTAGTGTTCATTGTATGTGTATACCACATTTTGTCAATCCATTTATCTGTTGATGGACATCCACCTTTTGGCTGTTGTGAACAGTGCTGCAGTGAACATTGGTGTACATGTGTCTGTGCACTCCCACTTTCAGTTCTTTTGAGTATAGACCTAGGATTGCTATTGCTGGGTAATTTGGTAGTCCTGTTCAACTTTTTGTGTGATCTTATACTTTTTATAAAATCTGCTGTAAATCAATGCTAATGTATATTTTAATGGCTAAAAAAAGTGATTAAAGCCTATCATACAATCATAAAATGTTCAGTCATTTAACTTGGACACAAAGGACATATTTTTTTTCTTTTTTTCTTATTGTGCTTCAGATGAAGGTTTACAGAACAAACTAGCTTCTCATTAAACAATTAGTACACATATTGTTTTGTGACATTGGTTACCAACCTCACGAAATGTCACCTCTCTCCCTTCTCAACCTTGAGTTCCCTATTACCAGCTTTCCTGTCTGCTCCTGCCTTCTGGCCCTTGCCCCTGGGCTGGTGTGCCCCTTTAGTCTTGTTTTGTTTTATGGGCCTGTCTAACCTTTGGCTGAAGGGTGAACCTCAGGAGTGACTTCATTACTGAGCTAAAAGGAGGTCTGGGAGCCATACTCTCGGGGTTTCTCCAGTCTCAAAGGGCATATTTTATCTCCCACTAGAATAGCCTGAATAATCCACATTCATACTGGTCTAGATAGAAATTTATCTACTGAAGAACCTGATAATCACAGAAAATATTGTACATGAAACAAAGCATGCAATTTTGTCTTTAAACCTGTATTTATATGTAATGAATGGCTGCTTCCAAAATTCTGATATTGTAACAGACTTAAAGTTATGTGATTTCTGATGCTGTATATTTGCAGTAAAACTCTTCCAAGCTATCTGGCCTGAACAAATTACTAATTTATGTCCCCCTCCTTTTTAGGGTAACCTACAGTTACTGCAGAACTGCCTGGCAGTGTTAAATGGAAACACATAAGCCATACTCCACCTTCCTGTCAAAAGGGCTGCCTTCCTTCAAATTTCATTTTTGTTTTCTTAATGATGTTTGGCATTTACTGCTCACTGGAAACAAGAAAGAAAACGGCTGACAAAGTGCATTTACTCTCCTTTTCTCTGATCAACAATGGAGCGGTGCGTCCACAGGTGACCCCAGCTGTGTGGTGTGGCCCTGCATTCCTGTGCCCGAGCGTTCCCGGGACAGTTGTCCACCATTGTGCGCTTCCTATTCAAAAGCCCAAAGTGCAGTCTTTTTTTAAGTAGCATCTATAAGTGTGTTTGTTTTATAAATAGTATTCCTTATGGCTGCCAATCTTATAAGTAATTTCTGAAGTTTAACCCTTTCGAAATACATTGTTCAAAAGATGAAGATTGCCATTACCTTCTTTTGAATTTTGTTGTTAAAAAACATTGTATACAACCTTACTTCATCCATGTATCCGGGTAAAGCATCTTAATCAGACTTATTTTTAATTAATGAGGATTTCTTAGAAGTTTTGGGGACAGACTTTATGTAATCTTTATAAGTATGATTTCTGAAGAAAAGCAAATGCATTAGTATGTTTGCCTTAAACTTGTAGACTAAACCAGTTATTGTAAAATAAACAGTGATAACAGTGATAGTTTTTAACTCTGGTCATTGTATCACTCTCTGAAATTTGGAGTAGCTATAATAAATCTACTCCTGTATTATGTTGTACAGTGTAGGTCTTGGTGATTTTTTCTTATTCCTTTTAAAGTAGCATATTGAACCAAGCTCACCAGTCCCTTTACAAAGGAATGACCTGCTCCTTCATGTGCTTTTAGCACTTCATAGGAGGTGGAATTGGGCAGAGGCAAGTTAGAGACAGCTATTGCTGAAATACTGGAGCAGAGAGTAGTTTATTATGGCTTCCTGGATTCTGTCCCTAGCTCAGCCAATTAATCACGCGATATATGCCATCAAGCCATTTGGTAATTACCATACCAGTGTACAGATTGGTATGTAGAGGGAAATAGGTCTGCTGTAGGGAACAGCACTTGTCTGTGGAAAAAAAACAATATTTGGGATAAAGGTGGTATATACAGTGGATAGTAATTGTCAGTAGTTTCATTACAAATACTATTGGCCTTTCTAATGTGAATGAACATTGCGTCATTCCTAGTTTAAAGTTAAATTGACTGGTTGGATTTTCCCACTGTCTTTTTCTAACGTTTCTCCCATTAGGAAGCCACAGGCATTAGGGCTGGTCAGCCCTCTGGTGGGTTCCTAGTTTGTTTACATTTTCCCAGACCGCCCCTGAAGAATGCCTGGTCTCTGTTTTATTGCCAGTCATGATGATTCTTACCTTTCTCAGCATGTTCTCTTGCCTCATTAATGTGCTGGTTAATGTTTTCGTCTATAACTGACATGTTCCCTGATGGCATTTGAACTGTTGATTTTTTTGTTGGCTGAGAGATCTGTGCGTTTTGTCCTCCATGTAACCTTCTCTGGTAAAAATACGCCTGTGTGATGCCCACCAGGTGAACGCGGACCAAGAGCCCTAGCTTCTGAATTCAGGTCCAGCCCCCTCACAGGCTGCCTTTGTGGCCTTGGGCAGGTTCGCTTGACCTCTTCAGTTTCTCTTAAGGACATACTGACCTACCTCACAGGGGTGTTGTGAGGATTAATAAATGTTGGTACAGTGCTTTGAAAATGTGAAGATGCTGTGTAAATGCTAAGAAATAGCAAGTACAGAGCAAAAGGCCTACAGTGTTTCACATATCCATCAGCTAATCTGTTTTTCCAAGGTGGTCTTTTTCAGGGAAGGGGTTAGAGTGGAAGATAGTATTGTGCATCCCTTAGCCCCTGGTTTACATTTAAGAGTGCTTGTTTCAGGGGTGGGAGTAGACTGGAAGCAGGGGTCTGCATACTAAGAGTGTTAGGGGGTTGCTTAATAAATATACATAACAGTTGACAGAACTACATTTCCTAAGAGACTTCTCACTAACAAAACCTACAGGTAAGGAATGTGTGCATAACTTAAGAAAGGCTGTAGTTTGTGCCTTCAGAATTACTGAAACTGTCACTCCATAGCTAACTGCTACTCTCTGATAAGAATGGCAGGCCCTGGATGTATTGCTGTTGAACTGACCTGAGGCATTCATTGAACATTTATTGACCCTCTTGTGCCTGGGTGAAGCAGGAGGATACCTAGTGGCAGAGACAAAGCCCTGCACAATTACTCTAGGAGTTGGAGTTAAGTATTGTAAGATGGTCCTCTGGAGTCCATTGCCTTGTCAAAGGTACTAAATGACAGATTCTGGAGTCCAGTTATAAAAAAAAATGTTAGCAAAGATTTTATTTGGGAGTAACCCAAATTGCTGGAACAAGAAAGCCTGACAAGAGGAGATACTGAGAACTCTGAGGCTTTGAGGAAGTTAGTTGGGAAAAAAGGAATCTGGGAAGTTAATCACTTAAGCAAAGGTGAGTCCTTTCAAAGAGGTGGCAAGTTTGTGATTGGGTCACGGGTTAATTTCTTTGTAATAGGTGCAAAGGTTCTTGGCTTTACTGTGATGGAAGTCTCAAGAGAATGTCATTTTGGAAAATACCAGTGAAGGGTTTTGGGTGGAAGCACCTGGTGCTGGTCTAAACTGGATATAGTCGTTTCTGATTGTCCGAGGTCTAGGACTTCCCTCAGGTGATGGTTTATGTCCTGAGGGACAGGAGGAAAAGGAGCATCCCAGGCAATAGGGATGGTGGGGGGTATCCAAAGAGGGGTGGGAACCCGGGAGTTGAGGGTGATGGATTTATGCAGTTAGGGTGGAGGATGACCGCAGATGAAACTGCAAAAGAAGGTGGATCAGGCTTGTAGGTCAGTGTGGTTCAAAGCTTGGGTCAGATATCTCTATCTAGTTTGGAAAAGCTTATACAATACTCTTAATGGTTTGTAGAAAAATAGAAGTTGAGTTCAAATTCATCTTTTTGGTAAAACCATGCAGAAAGTAGATTTCAGAAGGGCTATGAGTGGTTTAAAAGGAGAAACTGCTGTGTGGGACTAGGGGGCCATTCAAGCCTTAAAACGGAGTGAAATCCTGTTTGGGTGTTAACAGTTTTCCTGGTAGATAGAGAATGGAACATTTCCACCTGTGTTCACACTCATCCTTTTTGTTGTTGTTGTTGAAATGATAACCAATGTAAAAATAGGGGAGGCCTGTCTATAGTAGGTGGTTCAGTGGTTAAGAGCTACGGCTGCAAACGAAAAGGTCGGCAGTTCGAATCCACCAGCCGCTCCTCGGAAGCCCTGTGGGGCAGTTCTGCTCTGTCCTATAGGGTCGCTCTGAGTCGGAATCAACTTGATGGCAGTGGGTTTGGGTTTTGTTTTGTTTTTTGTCTATATTAGGGAGGATATAACCTTGGTTACAGGTAATTAAAACAATGAGCAGTTTAGACAGCTAAGACTTATTTTTCCCACCTCCCTGGAATTTCAGAGGTAGCATTTGAGGCTAGTCTGTCTACCAGTGTTGTTCACCAGGCGGGGTGTAGGTTCTCCTGACACCACTTGCCTCAGGGTACCAAGTTGGCTACTACACCTCCAGTTCTCAGGTTTGACTTCCAGGTTGGGGAAAAAGATATTCTTGTAAAAGAGGCAACGCTTTTTATTTGCCAGGTGATGTCCTCCCTGGACACTTGCATCTTATGTCTCTGGTCAGAACTGTGCCCTGTGGCCATCTCTGGCTGCACAGGTGGCCAGGAAATTGTTTTTATCTGCGCATGTCGATACTCTGGACAAACCCAGTGTCAGTAAGAAAAAAGTAATTGGACATTGGGTAGGGAATGAATAGTCTGCTATATTGTGTTAGTGCTAAAAAACCCAGAGAAGAGTGATGGCACCTGTCAGAAGCCCTGCATCTTGCATTGCAAGATGAATCTGGACCTGAGGGAGGGAGGGCCAAGTTGACCTGGTACCGACTATAAAAAACATTGTTATGTATTGGAAAAGGAACCGACCAGAGGCCAGCTTCCTGATTGATGGTGGCTGAAGAAAGTGATACTACACAAAGAGACAGGAGGCTGGCCAGGTCACTGGATCAGATGACACCACTGGCACACGTGATTGAAAACCAGAGAACCAATAGGAAAGAGGATTTTTTAAAAAAAAAATCTTTGCTCACTGTGGGGACTGCTAAGTAGGAAATTCACAGGACAGGCCAACAGATGTACATCCAGCAGGAATCAATTTATTCCACGTGTTTTCACACCCAGGACAGACCCCAAAATCTTCCTGATCTTCCTGGGCTGTGAATTACATGCTGATTATAATCCTCCTGATCTTTCTTGACTGTGAAATTACATGCTGATTATAATCCTCATTTTCTGGTGAAAGAAGACGCAGATTGTAAAAAAGTGTAACATGGCCCCGAGTCACAAAACTCAGTATATAAATTCTGTCGTAAAAACTTAAATATATGATAGAGTTAATAAGTATATAAAATAAATCTTACTTTGAAGCTGGAAAATAGAGGAAAGAACAGACGCAGTTTCCCACTGTTACAAATTACGCAATCAAGTTTCCCACACGGGGAAATCATGAGTCAGCGTATCCGAAGTGTAATGAATGAAGCTCGCTGTATAAAAAAGACGTTTACAATCATGATATTTTTTTCAGCAGGTAATTGAATTGTTTTTTCCGCCTCCACTCACCCTCGCGGGCCTCACGCTCGTTACACATGGTCACTTTCCTCACGCGGCCACCGCACCCTTGCTTCCTCAGCGCCCCTTTCTCCAGCCTTACAAATCGGAAAAGTAACCTGGAACGTTTGGATCTTGCCAATAGCAGGACGTGGGAGCCCAGGCTGAGCAGGACCAGCGGGCTCTGCGCGCCCTGCTCATCTGCATACGCCCCGCCCTTACTGTGACGTCCCCAGAGCGCACTTCGTTCACCTTGGGGACGCTAAACATACTAAGGCCCCCGAGAGACGTATTTCGATTTTTCTAGTTAAAAGGAACATTATTTCGTAAGTTGTAGTTTGAAGTTAGATTGAATGATTTGATTTTCTCTTTGCCTTTTTCTAACCTTTTTCCCATTGCGAAGCCGCGGTTATTTGGACTAGTCGGCCCACGGTGAGTTGCTGGTTTGTGTACATTTTCACTGGCTGCCCTTGTGGCCTGCGCTGACCTCCACCGCAGTTTCTCTGGGTGTGACACATTGACCATGTTGCCAAGTGAATAAGGTAAAGTGCAACAGAGTATATGTAGTATGCTACCCTTTGGCTAAGAAAGATACGGAAATAAAATATTCATCGCCTTGCAAAAGGACAGATAAACCAGAATTGATAAAATTACCTACAGGGGTGAGTGTGAACAAAATGGAAGGAGAGAGTGACACTCTTCTGAGTGGACCTTTTATATAATTGTGACTTTTAGAACTCAATGTTTTACATATCTTTTAAAATAGGGAGGAAAAAAGACAACTTCAGTGTAAACATAAACAACCTAACTGTATCTCAAATGAATACTATAACCACACTGACGTAGAAAACAATAACTGAAGTAATTTTTGAACACAGTACATCGACTATAGGTATCTTCAGTCTAAAGACAAAAACGACTGCAAAAGCTGAACTGTTCCATAGTATGTCATGGTTGTATGGTTGTAGCAATCCTATGATAATGCTCTGTGCATTGTAGGATTAAGCTAATGAGTAAATAAATGTTGGGAGCCAAGGTTCTCACTGTAGGAAGAAAGAGATACAAATATGGATTTGTATTGCTAATCTATTTGTTAGATTAGAAACTGAATTGGAGGTATCAATCTGGGCTCATTATTTTTAATAGATATGTGTCTGCTGAAAAGGTCCAGAAGCAGACACCCTAGTAGCAAGGAACACACTTAACATATGGTATGATCTTGGTTTTTAAAGGCCATTTCCTGCTAAAAGGAACAAAGGCTCTTTGGAGAAATGGCTGATTTCAGGGTGGCAGGGAGGGTATATAAGACAAGCCAAGAATCTCTTGTGTCAGCAAGTAAGGAAATGTCCCAAAAATTAGATGGACATGTCAAAAGAACACAAGAGCCAAGTTGAAGGGGCTTTCATGGGCCCACTCTGGGAAAACTTAAACATCCAAATGAGTAAAAAGAGTAATGAATAAACAGCTGATTAAAAAAAGAACTGTAAATCCGTATTGATAATACATAGGGGAGGAGAGAAAGTTCTACCTTAAAATAGAGTGCCAGCTAATAAATATAGAATGATAAAATTAGAAAATCAACATTTTGCAATCATAATAATTGATTCAAGCAGAATCATCAATGGATGCTAAAAACTGTAGTGTTAAAGTTTGATGAGGAACAGTATATGTACATATTCCCAAATTACACACATTACTTATTACAAAGGGCAAAGGTCCCTGGTTGGCACAAACAGTTTGCACTTGGACTCTGCTACTAACTGTAAAGGTTGATAGTTTCAAATTCATCCAGTGCTGTGGAAGAAATACATGGCAATCTGCTTCCCTAAAGATTACAGCCAAGAAAACCTTATGGAGCTCAGTTCTGCTCTGTAACACATGGGTTCACCATGAGTAGGAATTGCCTCCACGGCAGATGGTTTGGTTTTTGGTTTGTACAAAAGGCAAATGTGGTGGACACTTCCAGTGGCAGATGGTTGCAGTACGGGCTCCACTACCCATGTGCTCCTGCAGTACTCTCCCATATTGACTCTGGACTTGGCTATGTGACTAGTCTTATGGATTGAATCGTGTCCCCCTAAGAATATGTGTTGAAATCCTAACCCCTAGACCTGTGGATGTAATCCCAATTGGGAATAGGGTTTTCTTTGTTATATTAATGAGACCATGTCAGTGTAGGTTGTGTCTTAATCACTTTTGAGATATAAAGAGCAGATTAGGCACAGAAGCAAGCAAATACAAATGGGGGAAAGAGTGATGCCACTTAGAGATAGCCAAGGAACCAAGGAACACCAGGGCTAGAGAAGCTGAGACAAGGATTTTCCCCTAGAGAGGACAGAGAGAGCCTTCCCCTAAAACTGGTGCCCTAAATTCAGACTTCTAGCCTCCTAAACTGTGAGAAAAGAAACTTCTGTTCGTTAAAGCCACTCAATTGTGGTATTTCTGTTACAGCAGCACCAAGAAACTAAGACAATTAGCTTTGGCTAATGGAACATTAGTAAATGTCATGCAAGCCGAAGATGGAAAAGCACTTGTTCTTTGGGGCTTGCTCTTGCTTGCTGCCCTGAGATCACCATGAGAAGCAGCCCAGGCTAGCCAAATGAAAGATGAAATCACAGGAGCAAAGATGAGCCCTGTCAGCTGAGGCACTCTAGTCTGATGAGGCCCCAGCTGAGCCCAGATGGAATTTCTGACCCAAAGAATTAATGAGCAAATAAAAATGGTCTTTGTTTTAATACAGGGGAAACTAGCACAACCTGTACAAGGAAAGGTCATGGAAGCCCCATAGACACATCCAAACTCCCTGAGGGACTGAATTGCTGGGCAGAGGGCTGTGGGGACCATGGTCTCAGGGAACATCTAGCTCAACTGGCATGACACAGCTTATAAAGACAATGCTCTACATTCTACCTTGGTGAGTAGTGTCTGGGGTCTTAAAAGCCTGTGAGCGGTCATCTAAGATACTCCACTGGTCTCATCCCTTCGGGAGCAAGGGAGAATGAAGAGAACAGGATACAAGGAAAAGATTAGTCCGAAGGACTAATTGTCCACAGCTACCAAGGCCTCCACCGGATTGAGTCCAGTACAGCTAGATGGTGCCTGGCTACCACCACTGACTGCTCTGACCAGGATCACAACAGAGGGTTCTGGACAGAGCTGGAGAAGGATGTAGAGCACAATTCTAACTCACAAAAAAAAGACCAGATTTACTGGCCTAAAGGAGACTGGAGAAACCTCGAGAGTATGGCCCCCAGACACTCTTTTAGCTTAGTGGTGAAGTTACCTCCGAGGTTCACCGTTCAGCCTGGGAGTGGACAGCCCTGTAAAACCAAATGAGACTAACGAGGTACAGGAGTCCAGTGACAAGGACCAGAAGGCAGAAGGGGACAAGGAAGCTGGTGATAGGGAACCCAAGGTTGAGTAAGGATATTGTTGATGTGTTGTGAGATTGTTAACCATTGTCATAGGGCAACATTTGTAGTAACTGTTAAATGAGAAACTATTTTGTTCTGTAAGCCTTCATCTTAAGTGAGAATAACAGCACAATTGGAAGAGCATAGTCAATGTCACTGAACTGTGCATGTAGACATTTTTGAAATGGTGTATCTTTGGCTATGTGTACTTTCACCAAAAAAAAAAAGGGTTGAGAAGTTAGAGGGTTAATATGTTGTGGGGTTGTTAACCAATGTCATAAAACAACATGTGTACTACTGTTTCATGAGAAAGTATTTGTTCTGTAAGCCTTCACCTGAAGTACAATAAAAAAATAATAATAATAAAGTACAAAAAAAAATGGTCTTTGTTTTAAGTCACTAAGTTTTATGGTGGTTTGTTATGCAGCAATGGATAACTGATATACTACTTTAACCAAGCGATCAATGTTACCACCACCAGTGCTTGGACAAATTGACATCATATGCCTCCTTATATGATGCCCTGAGAAGGACACCAGTTATATAGTATTTATGTCAAAAATGCATCCCTGGATGCAATCATAAGGAAACATAGGACCACCCCCAAATTGAGGGAAACTATACAAAATAACTGGCCTGTAGTCTTCAAAAATACTGACAGCATGAAATTCAAAGGACTCAGGGACTGTTTCAGATTTAAGAAGATTTAAGGAGACATGGCAACTGAATGCAACATGTGATTTTGAATTCTCCTTTGCTCCAAAGGACATTATTGAGACAATTGGTGAAAAAGTGCATACTGTCTGGAGAGTAATAATATTGAATCAATGTCATTTTCTTGATTTTGATCTTTGTACTGCAATTATGTAAGAGAATCCCTTAGGAAATATCCACTTATTAAGCAAATTTTTTTTCATTACAATGCTTTTTTTTCTTCCTTTTTTTTATTATTGTACTTTAGATGAAGGTTTAGAGAACAATCTAGCTTCTCATTAAACAATTAGTACACATATTGTTTTGTGCCATTGGTTACCAACCCCACGACATGTCAACACTCTCCCTTCTTGACCTTGGGTTCCCTATCACCTGCTTTCCTGTCCCCTCCTGCGACCCTGTAGGACAGAGTAGAACTGCCCCATGGGGTTTCCAAGGAGCGACTGATGGATTCCAACTGCTGACCTTTTGGTTAGTAGTCTAGCTATTAAACACTGTGCCACCAGGGCTCCACACTTACCATAGGACCCAGCAATTCCTAGGTATTTATTCAAAAGAAATGAAAATATATGTGTCTTATTTGTCTAGTGCTGGTATAACAAATACCACACGTGGATGCTGTTAGCAAAGAGAAATTTATTATCTCACAGTCTAGGAGGCTAAAAGTCTGAGTTCAGGGCATCAGCTCTAGGGAAGTCTTTCTCTCTCTGTCGCTTCTGTGGGAAGTCTTTGTCATCAATATTCCCGTGGTTTAGGAGCTTCTCAATGCAAGGACACTGAGTCCAGAAGACGTGCTCCACTCCTGGCGCTTCTTTCTTAGTGGTATGAGGCCCTCTCCTCTTTGCTTGATTCTCTTTCATA